GCGTCGGCTTGGTCCGGCTTGCCCGCCGCGTTCGATGAAGTTGCGAGGATACACGTTGGCCATGAAGAGGCGCTGGAGGTAGCGTAGTTCTGACCTTCTGTCGTCTGGCTCACTGAAGTGTGTTTCTGCAAGATGTCCTAGGTCTATAGGCGCCAAAGTTCAGGAAATGTACGCCAATATACATTGAACTCCACTGGCTTCCCGATTTCCCGCATTCAAGCGGGCGTTTGCTATACTTGGACGGTGTTTGCGTGCAGCGGGTGTGGCGTCATAAAAATATGTCCCCTGCAATTCACCCGAAAATGATTTTTACACCCCCCGCCTTTTCCGCTCCTCCGCCCAGTGGCATCAGGCTAGTGCTGACGAACGCTAGCTGAATTTAGCGCGGCTGCCGCCGCCTCTCTCTCCGCGTGGACACAGCTTCCTGAGTGCTGACGTGCTCTTGTGGTCCGGGGAGATGACTGATCTCAATTGGAAACAGATGCGTGAGCTGGTTTTGTGTGTACACGCGAGGTTTGCGGGTGAACGTTAAGCGGGCTTGTGCACTATACTTCAGAACAGGATGCGTTTTCACGAAGGAGCAACTCGCGCACACACTACAGGCGAAAATTGCGATTCAACAAGTTTCCTCGTAAAGCCCATGGGGAATGTGGCTCGGTGCAAGGTGGCGACAGTTCAAAAAGGAGTTTGGAGTTTTTCGAAGGCTGCTAACGAGCATAGGCAGGATGCAGGAAAAATCTTCATCCGTGAATGGAATACTTGAGACAATCGGTCTGCCATTCGAAGCTGGATTCACCCGAAGTGGCGGTTGATGACAGGGACGCCTCATACGAAAGCTGGGAGACACTGTCAATAAACACTTAGTTATCGCCTACTCCGAGGTCTCCATAACGCAACTTGTCAAAAAAATTATTCGGCTATTTGCTCTTCGAACAAGGAAACTCGGGATGCGAACAGCATTTCAAATCAATAAAATTTCCGGTCAACACAGAAATAGGACCTTTGCCACTCTGCTACCAGGTCGCCGCACAGAGAAGTATTACCAAGATGAACTAGAGGGACCGAAATAACTACGGCTGTCTCACGTCTAGTCACCAGACGACCATAATCTACTCACAGGCCGCGTAGACCCGAGGTTGGAACCCCCGCACCGCTATTCATTGAGCCAAACATCCTACCAGTTGAGCCGCGGCTGACGCCGTCGGTTGCGGTGGGAATGTTCGTTAGGGCTCCCGCGTGCTGCGATTACAGCATATTCTTCTTGGCTGTAGGCCTTCCAAAAAAACTGGACTGACAAAATGTTTCGCCACTATTTAGAAGGCGCCTAGGAGAGGCGAACGGTAGTCAACGTAGTTAAGCCTTGCGAAACAAACGATCTGAGAAACGTTAAGTATGACTCAGAGCTGGTCATGAACACATACGTCTCATGGAATTAAGAACCGAGTGGTCAAAAGAGAACGATGTAGCAGTTCTATCCTGAAGGATGAGAGGCGGTATTTCCCCATTCAGTGCCGCCTGGTTTCCTACAAAATTACCCTGCTAACATATTTCACATATAATACACAAGATCTAACCCAGTCATTGTCCGCGGTACATATGCAGTATGAGACCTTTCTCACGAAAGGTTATAACGGAAATTGGAACGATCAAGTCCGGGCACCTAGGATGTTGTAAATTATATTTATTCGTCTACCCTGTTCCCTGAACTGCCTTTTTGCATGGAGAATATTTTTATAAGTAATTTTATCAGTCAAAATGTTTGCAAATTTGGGAGGAAACCTACGTCGCCTTGTATTCGGGTAGTTTCCTGTGTTAATAGCTGTTTTTTGCATCTCTGTGCTTTTCTACTAGAATAATCTAGACTAGGGGTTTTATCAAACACGAGTCATCGCAATTGGAAAGTGGTCGTTTATCGCCACATAAATCAGATATAGTAGGGTATAAGCAAGGTTATGTTAGGAAAATCAGACGTTTTATCGATTCTGAATTCAGGTTTGCAAATCTGCGTGATCTTGTGCTCTGAAACGCAGTAATAACGCCTACGGACAATCATTTGTTTAAACATTCCGATATTTTAAGGTCCTTTGCGAATACTCAATGACTTACGGCGAACAGGCCCTCCACCAAGCGGTTATGTCAACTTTTAAGCACAAGGAAAGACATTTTTTGGCAAGATCTGATCTCCACTTACCTGTGATTTAGAAACGGAGAGGACAAAAGATTGGCAGGTTTAGCAATATCTTAGTAGAATGCTATTATCGACAAAGACAAGGGAGACTGGAATGTCCATTTCAGGCTTATTAGCCGTCGTCAGCCAGTCATACCTGACCCCGAAGTGTGGAACACCCAAGGCTCGAACTCGTGACTTGGTAGTTAGAAGTCCACGCCTCTAACCACTGAACAACGGGCCCGTCACCCAGTGGTTAGAAGTGTGGACTTCTAACTAGCAGGTCACGAGTTCGAGCCCCGGCTGTTCCACACTTCGGGCTTGGGTATGACTGGCTGACGACGACTAATAAGCCAGAAATGACCATTCAAGTCTCCCTTGTCTGTGTCGATAATAACATCCTGCCTATATCATGCGCCGCTGTGCGGCCGCTGGTTGGGCTCGAGAGGACGCTCGTCAATTTATTCCTGCAGAATGTAGCGTTCGCTTCTCAAAGTACATAAAAGGGTGTAAGTGAGGGGCACTCTTGTCGAAAGTGCAATGTGACGCGAAATGTTTGACCCTCAGCGCGCCAATAATGCACAGCTCAGGCGGACTTCCAGTTCATTGATTAATTTAATAGCTGTCGGTAGCACTGTGCCCTCACAATCATCCGGTCGAATCTCAGTGTTGCCGATAGCGACAGAGTCGACTGCAAACAAACGACGTAGACGTCTGAATGTTATTACCTACAAAGACAAGGAATACTGGAATGGCCTCTCGAGCGTCCCCTGTACCATAAAATCTTGGTACTCATATGGCCACCCTGTTGTGCATTTATAACCGTAGAACGGAGTCTTGAAGTAGGCAAATATAACGGAAATGGCTTCATCATAATGATAAACAGGGTTCTTTCGTCTGCAGGAGAAAAACTACCATGCTCGAATTGCCGCGGTGTTATACAGGCACGTAATGTCATAACTCAATGCGTACACTGACTTACAGTAGTCTGAATAATTCATGTCATGTACCAATGTGGCTCACGTCTTGGTCTAATTGGGGGACGAACTCAACGCACATAACCCACGGCGCACCGACACGCTCATATCCGTAAGCGCGTATCCGTCCAGCTCCCCCACACTGCTTGCTGACGACAACTTACCACAGTATGCATCATAAACTCTGTTTTTTTTTCGCCCTCTGACTTATGCTGCTCGGCGGCAAAAGGTTTCACTGCGAGTGCTTGCAGTCTGGTGTCGATCTTTGACGATCACAAGGCATACATGTAAGATAAAGCGTGAGATAATGGTGAGACTATCGTTTGGACACAGCTAACTGACTGGCAACCCGTTCCTCATGGGCGCCAAGTTGGCACAGGCCTCGGAAACTTTTTGAGAACAGGAATTAGGTATGAGAGTCCAAGAATTACTGTCGTAGCCATACGGTAACTACTGTGGAAGTGTTTGCGTAGAAGAAAAATTAAACTGACGTTGGCGTGGAAGGCCGCAAGCAAAGTCACATCCGGCCACATTAAACATCCCACAAGAGGCTGGGGCAGAGTGTCAAAACGATTTGCTGAGTGGCATACGGTGATGACAGGAAAAAAACAGGTCCGATCGGGCAACTGGTCGAAAGTGATAAAATGTCCTACGCTGATGGACTGAGTACTGATAAATTCCGTTTTAACAGTCGCCAACATAATCGACACAGATAAGGCGAGAAACTGGCTGCAGCACATGGACGTTTTGCCATTAAAACTCCGGTTGGACATGGTAATAGGGAACCCCCATACTACAGGTGGCCAAAACCCCCTCCCTCCTCGAATTTAGTGCAAGGCCACCTGCAGTACGGAGGGTTCGTACTACCACTCCAATAAACTATGAGGCTTGCACAGATGATTAAATGGCATGCAGAGCTTGAGTCCGCATTTATGTCCAAGTACATCCTACAGTACAGTCGGTATTAAAGGTCTTAGGAAGAGGTCTAGCGGAGGCGGTGACTGCTCAAAATTTGTCGAAAGCAACATGCACAGCGAAGAGTGCCTACACAAACGAGTGGCACTTGCTCCTTCAAGTTTTTGACGTCGAGAATTGTGGATTTCAAAGTGGTCCAATGGTGAGCACGACTCGCTTGGTAAATAAGCGTACCGCTGGCGTTGTTTAGGTGTGATGTCGAGGAGCAGGTCTCGTTCATTAAACTAAGGAACGTGCAATGTCAACAGGTGGAGTAGTTTACAGGTTAGCAAGCTCAGGGCATTTTTGCTGCCAGTGCAACACTGCGGTTGCCAAGTGGCTAATTGTCAGTCGTGTGTCTGCCCCGACAACTTGTGTACTTTATGCTTACTTCGCGCGAGGAATGACGCCAGGATTAAAAACAACGCCCGAAGTAAAGCGGAGCCAAAGTCGACTTACCAGAAGACTGATAGATAACTCAGTGAATATGAAGTTGTGGGTAAAATTTAGTCGCAGAGATTGAGCTAAACAGTAATGGAGGTTGAGACGCAATGAGAGGCAAATCAGCCCCACCCTATGAGTGCGACCAATCGCCGGGCGCGTGGATTTGCCTGCCAAGGAAATAATAGAGCAAATTCACTTACTCGCGTGTCTGCCAGATATCGCAGATGGAGGCTGGCAGAGCAGAACTGAAAGCCCACAACCAACAGTACAAACACGAAACAACTTTCCCAGTGTTTGACTGCCCCTCCCCCCTGCAACTGCCATGTTGAGACGATTCTTGTCCACTCCCGCCTACCCGTCCCTCGATGGGCGCCTTAAAATCTGTGTTTAGCCGCGGGAGTAAGTGCACACACACGCATCTGCATGAAGCGCAGAGATTATGCCCTCTGGCATTGGAGGCCGCCAAGGCAATGTGAACGGATAAATAAGACCGGCATTGTTGCGGCCTAGAGGAGAATTGGGCTGATGCGAGCGCCGACTTTCGTCACCCGCCCAACTGATAATGGAACATTGACGCCACCACGGTGGCGAGAGCGCTTTTAATTTCAATGCCCTTGCAGAAACCAGAAACCAACGCAAGGAGAATCTGTGAAGTTTTTTATCCATATTAGAGCGTCAGTCCTTGTAGCGTGTACTTATCTATGTCCACCATTCTTCCACGGCACGTCTATCCAACGCTAACGTGGGCGCGGGCGTTTTCATACGATAGTTCGTCCGCCGAACACGACCACCATCACTATCCTGACACAGGGGAGAGCTTAAACAAAAATAAAAGGTCCCTAAAGTGGATGGCAAACAGAATATCATCATGAATGTTTCGCCAGGAACTCCCAAGTCACCAACATCACGCAACAAAGGCAGGCCGCTCCGAGGACAGTGCCTAGTAATAGAGGGACTTCAAGAGCCACATGCAGACACACCTAAAGAACGCGTTGTAACTGATCTCGGCTTGTTCCAAGGTCTTCTAAATATAATGCTTCAACCCATCGAACAAGTTTCAGTGTTAAAAGCCTACAGACTCGGAGAGCGCACAACTGAATCCGCTGTTCCACCGCATCCTAAGCCCCTCAAAATTGTTCTGAGTTGCAAAGAGCATGTTGATCTCATCCTCTCAAGACGTTTTAAGTTAAAATATTCCCACCAAGGAGTTTTCTTCAGCCGGATTACACACCGCCGGAGCGGCTAAAACGCCGACACTTAGTCCAGGAGCTAAGGCTGCGACAAAGGAGTGGCAAACAAGGCCTGGTTATTTACAAAAACTGTATAATCGAGCGGCCGTCCCAGTTTATATGGACACGGTCTGTGCGCATGTCGCCACAACTGAGGCAAATGACAATCCGAATATCGGCTGGAATCTGACTTCTGCCCAAGGCTCAGAATTTAACTTTGATCGCCGACTCCTACGAGCAGTGCAAAGATCGCATCTCACACAATACGTCTCATCTCCAACCAGACTACGTGAAGGGCAACTAACTTACTGCTTAGACCTTATATTGACAAAGGCACCTGAAAGCGTTGATGTCGTAAACTGTCTACCCCCTTTCGGAAAAAGCGACCATGTAGTCCTACAGTGGGAGTATTCTCTCTTCTCTGTACCTGATCAAAGCATTGTGATCAGGCGCAGCATATGGCGTGGTGACTTCAACCAAATGCGCCTCGACATGCGTCGTAGAGACTGGAAAGCAGCATTCACGGGGTGCGTTCTCAAGGACTGGTTAGAACTTAAGGCCGTATTGAATGAGCTTATCACCAGATACTGCCCTATGTCGAAAAAAATCACCAGCAGGCCCCGATGGCTAAAGAATACAATAAAACTTGAAGTAAACCGTAAGTAAAAGCTGTGGAAAGCTTATCCCAGAAATAAGACAGTCTAATCAAGGAATAGGTACAAGGCTCTGTGGAATAGGTTAAGTGCTTTGTTTACAAAGCCCGCCAAGACTTCGAGGGAGACCTTTCAAACTGTGCAGGAGAAAACTCAAAGCTTTCTTCAACTACATATGACAAAGTACTCGCAACAGGGATCTCATTCCTATGTTAAAAAGGGATGATGGCATTGAATTTTACAAGGACGACGAAAAGGCTGAGCATCTGTCCAGGTTCTTTCAGTCCGTATTTACTAAAGAAGTCGTTCTGCCCGCTAATCAGTATAACGTGGACGATGTCCCGAAAATTGACTCAGTGGTTCTCACAAAAGCTATTGTTCAACAAGAACTACCGAGGCTAAAAGAAGTGACATCGCCCGGTTCTGATGAAATACCAGCAAAGTTGTTGAAGAAATTAGCCACAGAATTGGCAGAACCTCCGTGTCTCCTCTTCCAAACCTCTCTTGATGCAGGCAGACTGCCTCCTGAGTGGAAGACTGCGTGGATTTCACCGATACACTAAAGTGGCAGTCGCGCTTCCGCAAACAACTACCGACCGGTAGGCCTCCGCCTCCATATGCTGCAGTTATGGAGCGAATTATCAAACGCGAACTGATGAGGTTTTTAGAGCAACATAATCTATCTGATGCACAGCATAGGTTCCGCAGAGGAAGGTCCTGTCTGGCCAATCTACTCTACTGTCTTGAACAGTGGACCCGAGCGATTGATGAGGGAAACGTGGTGCATGTAGCCTATAGAGACTTCAAGAAGGCCTTCGACAGCGTGCCAAACCAACGTCTCCTATACAAGCTCAGCTGCATAGGGGTAAGAGGTAAGCTTTTGAAGTGGATTGAAAACTTCTTGATCGGTCGGTCTCAGACTGTCCGTCTTGCTGGCCAGCAATCGGCAGAGGTGACGGTTACGAGCGCAGTACCTCAGGGCTCCGTTCTTGGCCCTATCCTCTCCCTCAACTATATTGATGACTGCATCCATGGGTTGGACTGCGACATTGCTATGTTTGCTGACGATATAAAGCTTTGGACTGTCATCCGCAACGAGGACGATGAAGCAAATCTACGGGCAAACTTAGACCGACTCGAACAATGGTCAGGCCACTGGCTCCTCCCATTTAATGTTACTAAATGCAACATTCTGAGAATTGGCAGAACCAGCGCTGCGCACCGGAAGACTTACTATCTAAATCACACACTGCTGCCAGTCGTAGAGATTCGGAAGGATCTAGGTGTGTGGATAAAATTTTCACGAAAGCCATCATTCCACTGCTTGAAAGCAGAGAAATCCGCAATGTCCAGCTTATATCTCATCAAGCGGGCGTGTGCGAAGTTCAACGAAGAGTGCTTTCGCAAGGTCTTCGGAATGTTTGTGCGCCCACAGTTAGAATTTTCCATTCAGGCCTGCAGACCCTGGTCTATCAAAGATCTACCCAACCTCGAAAAAGTCCAAAGACGGGCAACCAAGCTTCTCAGAGGTCATAAAAACCTACCTTCCGAAACTAGACTGTCCAATCTTGACCTCTTTCCCCTGGACTACAGACAACTACGTGACGACTTAATCCAAACGTTTCGAAGGTTACGGGGTCAGGATTGCTGTCTCGCATCCGGCGACTTCTTTGAGCTGGCCACCACTACTAGCTTGAGAGGACATCCTCTGAAAATACGTGTGACAGGGACGAGACTGGACGCAAGGAGGTCCTTCTTCAACCACGGAGTGGTAAAGGCATGGAATGCCCTGCCTGGGGATGTCGTCATGTCCTCATCCGTCGACACACTTAAGAGGAAGCTTGACCAGAAACTAACAAATTTCCCCCCCCCCGTACCACCCGCCCCCTCGGTTTTACGTTACAAAGCATGCCACTCCCTATATTTGAGTAGCATTATTTTATGACTTCGTTATCTCCTGAGCGAAGCATATACGTTTGCTTCGACATTACTTGGTCCAGTCCGTACCGCGTACTGGTTATTGTACAATTTTGACATAGAAGGCATTCACAGACAAATTTATACCAGTAACACATGCTTGCTGTACGCAATTACTTGCCTAATTTTCTCTGACACTTGCCTTACACATTGTTTTTTTTTTTAATGTTATTGTAACCAAAAGGGAGTTCAAAGGCGCTCGCCTACCTTGCCTTTAATAAATCTGATCTGATCTGATTACACCGTACCGAGCCCATTCTCTGCCCATCCACCACGTTTACGTAGGAGGAAAAGTCAATCTGGCTGTAGGCAGACTTGGACGCATTAGCTGACAGGGTTCCTCTTCTCGCATGTCACAACACGGCCTGTTCCTCCCCACTGAACGATCCAAACTACACAAGCGAACTCGTCGGTTTTGAAGACATACAGGCTATCCTCGTCGAGGCAGCTGCGACGATGAGACGGGGTGCATTCAGCAGAACCTGGTAGAACAACTGATGAAGACTTGTCACTGGGTGCACTCAGCGTGGAGAGAGCACCTCGTGCAGATAGGCATTTGGTGCGAGTGACAACGCAGCGAAATGCCTGCTTCACATGTACGCCAGGCTAGATCTGAAGTTGAATTACCCGACTTGCAGTCTTCTTGAGTGCAAGAACTTGCAGAGAAAAAACGTTTGCTGGGAGACATGAGCAAATCGGCGATCCTAGAATTCGCGCAATATTACCGCAGTCAAGCCTGCCTGTTATGAAAATTATTTGATATTCTACTCTTCCTGACTTGCAAAATGAACGCAAGAGACTTCGAGCAAAAAGTCGAGTGCCCAGAATGAATCTGGGAAGTTGGTAAGTAGGTACACTCCCGCTGCAAAGGCCCGCTGGTTTTGAGAGTTCTATAACTGCCGAGGTTGGACATCAAAAATGTTCTTATGGCATGAAACGGTTCTTACGTCGACGCTGTTCTCCACTTTCCAACCTCCTACTGAAAAAAAGGCGTAGCAAGCCGACGGTCGACCAAGAAAAAAGGCCAACTTCCATACGAACTATTGCTTACTGAAATTTCCAAACTAGACTACATTTAGGTCGTCACGCAACCGCGAAGACATCAGTTGACCTGACTTTACTATAAGACATGTTTAGAAGTACTTTCAATTTACTGCGCAAACAAAATCAATCTAAGATCGGGGCAAGTCACGCGCTCTGCAATCATGTGAAAAGTGGGGATTTTCGTTCGCATAGTGTTTCAAAAGAACAACCAGCGGATTGTGTGAAACGACTGCACGACTGCAATGGGTCTTAGCCTACACCTTTATCCTGTTTCGAAACACGAATTTCGGCTGGTTGCAAACTTCCCCCATGCAACTTGCGATAGTGGTGTACACAGATACGCGGCCATTTCGCTGAAAAAAAGCCAAGACAGCGGCTGATAATTTGATCAGAGGAGTCAGGAAACAATTGCTGTGTTTTGTCACAAGATGACAAAATCCAACGACTTCGTTTAGACTAAGCCGTACTGGGAAAAAAGGGTAAGGATAGTTTTAAAATAGCCTCTTAATATTCGTAGGCGCTTGCAACCACGATGGTTTGTCTTCAAGATACTGGCTGCACAGTCAGACGTAAACTTGAACACGGCAAGGTCACAAAACAATGCCTTAAACCCCTAAGTCTGTCTAACTTTGGAAATAAAAGGCAATATTTGGCTTCCTCGGGCGTGTTTTTCACCTGATGAACCTGTGTAAAGAAGACCGCCTGACAACATGTGGAAGTAGGAATTCCAGCGGACGGAAAATCTGGCCATCGGCCCGGGTGATGAGCGAAAACGCTAGTTCCCCCTGGCAGCCCAAAGTAAACGCTGGAGAGCTACTGACAGTTCTCGGGTATGGAAAGAGCAAAATGAGAATAATGATTCAAAAAGTAACGCAACTTCCGAAAGAGGTATACGGGGGAAAAATGACCTACCTGGTGGCCAGTGTGATGATAGATACCGGATTCGTAGGCCATAAAGTCTGAGTAAACTTCGAATCCTACGGGGAAAGGACCGTTCTGCACTAGCTCCAACTGCATTAACTCCGCATTACAGGCGCCATAGTAACCACCCACGTAATGGTATTCGGAGGAGAAGTGGCGTGAGGCGTTAGTGGGCGTGTGGCATTTTTCTTGCATTTGACGGTAGGGCACCTCTTCCTCAGTAGTGAAACCAAAGTTTGCAGCGTACTTGCCCGCAATGAGGTAAGGAAATCCGCCTTCACAGCCTTATATGGAAAAGAAACAATAAGCATTTTTTCGAAGGGATAAGACTGAAAGAAAGAATCAGAGCTTGGAAGTATATATCTGAGAATCGGGAGGAGGGTCCGATGTTCGCCGATGATTTCCCGAGAGCGGTGCTGACAACGACGATGATAATGATGACGGTGGTGGTGGTGGTGGTGGTGGGGGGGGGGTGCAAGGAAACGATCCTGTAGAGCCAGGTTTTCCCTCATCTGATAGTTCGACCGTCACAAAACAGCAATGTACACCGTGAGCACCGCAGCATGGCGGGCACAGGGACAGTGACTTGCGCGCTAATTAGTTTGTGGTAAAAGGCTTGCGCAGCATATACAAAACTCTACTTCCTATCCCGCCCAGATCTGGTGTCATGACGAAGTCAAGAAGACCTGGGGCAGGATTAAGCGCAGTGGCTGACAGAGGTAAACAGCCCGTCTCCGCGTGCCACACTCATTTACTCCACGCACAAAGCACTAGGGTATCACAGAAACACGGGGGCCGAATCCTAACTGAGTGGTAGTATCAACTACTTTCTCTAACAAGCTATCAATCGGCACCAAGAAGTAAGTTTATTCCAGTTGCATAAGTGACAATTCGGAGAGACAGGGTATAAATCGTCAGAACCAGGGATGGAATACAGAGGTTCAAGCAGTCGCCCCTAGTCACACGCTGCTATAGGTTACCGGTTACAAGTTAAACGGCCAGATGGAAGTGATGGTCAAGTAGACGCGTGAATATAGAAATGTTGACGATGTAGTACTGCATACGACTGCGTTCGGGTAACATTGTGTGGAAGCCCGTAACAAGCCCCATTTAATGCTGGTGAGGGGAAAATCCGAAACTGTACCAGATGCTTGCCTTGTTTCTGTCCATCAAGCGTTTTTTTTTCTGCTCGGATTTCCCTCGATCGATATAGCCCTAACAGTGGACTTCTTAAAGACTTGTGCGTCTATGGCAAGGTTTGTTTGTAAAAGAGGTGGCGGAAAACTCCCACGTTCTTCATGGTAGTTTACCCAAGTAAACCTTCTGTAAAATAGTTGGTTCAAAAGAGTGGCTAGTAAACAGCTTCAGCTCGCGAAGGGTCACATGTTCCACATGCGCAGTGTTGCCGGTTGGATAAACGCAGTTGTTCAATACAGCGCTTTCTAACCCAGTAAAACATGGTGAGAGACACTTTTAAAGCTGAGCACTTACCTTCAGAGTAATGGCTGCAATCGAGGACGTCCTGGGGGGAGAGGATGGGCTGATAGGTACCCTTTGTCATCAGACTGATCCTCGCTTCCAGGGCCGCGGCCGAGGCGAATGCATAGCAGCTGCCGCAGTTGCCCTGATCCCGTACTGGCGTGACCGGGCTCCGCGACCCGTCAGGAGGAGAACGCCAGTCAAATTCCAGGGGAAGGTCGGCAACCAGGCGCCGCAGGTATGAGGAGCTCGGTGCTGCGCGGGGTCGACTGGCAACGATGGACGAGTGAAGATAGAAGGATTAACACCGAACCACACTGAGTGAGTGTTAATGGTCCGTGTTGGGCTGGAAGGTTCAACTTGGGAGGAATACTCAATGAGGATGTGGCCGAAATCACATGATTTGTTTACGACGAGCGTCCCATGCAGACAAGATGTTATCGGTTAGGTCGCTGGTAGCCAAAGTGAATGACAAACGCTGGGGAACAAGTCTCCATCTTTTTTTACTGGGAGAAACAATGTTTCCCAGGCACAGACTGGTGTCATGCAGAAGTTTACCATGGTAATTACGACATACCAGTGCTGAAGCGAAGGCACACTGACGCGACAAAGTGTGCGGCTCTTCAAACCAGCATAGGGGTATTCAGTTCTGTATGAAACGACAGTATGTTTGCCTCGTGAGAGCAAAACAGTACGTGAAATCTAACCCGTTAATCTACATATTTAGGGCAAGAATCACTCATAAACTCCATCAGCAGCTTCACGCTGGCACTTCAAAGGACATGGTGCAATTAAGATTATTCACATTCGGAGCAGTGACCGTTTGTTAGAAATAAACCTGTATGGAAGAGCGTGTTCGGAAGAACACAGGGGCCTCGAAGATTTTTCAGTTTTGTTACAGTTGGCCAGCCATACCTTACCCCGGTCAGGTTTACGAAGCGTCACCGAGCACAGCGGCAAACGCTTTTTTCCACCTTCATCACAAGAGTTTTTATTCGTGGTTTGTCCGGAGGTGATCACCCGTAATTTAAAACTTGTAGCTCAGGTGGTTAGAGTGCTGACTGTACTCAGGCCTTGCCCTTGCTGTCGTGGGTCCGGATCCCACCAAGGCCGTCGAGTTTTTCAGAATTGGCTCAAATTAATTATTTCTTTATTGCTAACTGCACAAAAATGATCATGCCTAGAAGAGCCGAAACTGCAGGAGGCACATTTATCCCAAATCAGAGCAAGTTACTACTCGGTTGCGGCAAATAATGTTCTACAGAGAAAACTCGGTGTACAGTCTAAATTATGAGAAAGACCCGTGACATGTCTACTTAGCGCTCTACAATCTGCACTGTTCACAGTGCACCCGTGTGATCAAGTCCAAAGCCCGAAGGGAGGCGTCGTTCACGGATAGGAATACATTTGGAGTGATTTGGGTACTCGACTCAGCGAAATGCTAGGCCTCTCGGCAAGAACGCCTCAAACCAAAAGGTATCCGAAGAAAAGACTGCTACTTCGTTTTTACCACCATAATTAATGGGCGAGTTAATGGGACCGTGCGCTTGGCGCAAATCGACGATAGAATCCGTAGGAGTAGGTTTTTTTCAAAAATATGCAAGACTCGGTCTTTTTGGCTTTTACTAACGTCCAGAATTAGCAACCTAGAACTCAGTGAACGCCACGTGTTGGTATCGCAGAGTGCAAAAATGTCTGGGTAAGTGAAGGTGGAAGTGGCCGCAAAGAAATCACACAGGTTCTGATTCTAGACGCCGGCTACCGCGACAGAATTACGTCCGTGAAGTAGGCTTAATGAAATACACTGCACGATTATACGAATGGAGAACGTGACCCGGTCCTCTGGAGTTGGCACTGGGTACCAATTAATTTTTGAACCACATTTTACAGCCAGCGTCCGGAGGCGACGCAGGAGCCCTCTACCGCATCTGCCACAAAACATTTATTGCCAGCATTAAACACGTAAGTCATTGTACACTGCAATTATTAGACTATGTCGACTGCGCATCTTTTCGGCACACTGTGCGCCTTTATCTCTTTGCTCAGGGGGGTGCCGAGTGGAAAGGACGGTTGGGTAGGTAAGAACAGAGCGAAAATTATGTACACAGTTAACTATCCGCCTAGACAGTATTGAATGAGATTTGTCGAACTCTTCGGTGTAATTAGACTGCCCACCGTCATATGCGGTAGAGGTGGGCGTCAGTGAATATGCCTCCCGTCTGAAAGAAAGACCAGGATTCTGCGCAAGAGATGACTTATATTGATCTCGTAAAGTGTTTTGTACTAGAGTCATGACCCTAAACTGAAGAGCTGCGCGTGATTTCTATTTTCATAGATAGTTGCAATAGAAATTGAGGCCAGTCATCAATAATCCAAACCTATCTCAAGCATTCAGCTGATTATAAGCGAAAGTAGATATTATGTTTTGGATTTGCAAACTAGTGTGAATAGCAAATTGGCATGGCCAAAAAACGTTCGTCCTGGGAGGGATTGTAGCACCAGTTGAGTCATCCACGACGCAGCACTGGAGAACTAATTCAGAAGGCTGCCTGGTGCAACGTCACCCAAAAAATACAAACTGCGGCACAACCTGTCATCAAAGGAGCTATGGAAGGATCAAATGAAGGTGCTACGATATGAAGCCTCATTCAGCACAGTTGATGCCAAACCTGTCAACATGAGTAGAGCGGTGGAATCGATCCTCGGTCAGAAGGAAGCGATGTCATGTGTCGTCTATCCACACGGCTCACAGGCCGCCCGAAGTGCTCAGACGTGATGCAATAAGGAAACCGAGGGTGGGCAACGACCTCGTTATCGTGCCTGCAGACAAGAGACGGTCTAGGGATGTATTGGACAGGACAGGCTACCCCCAAAAGGCCAAAGACTTATTAGAGGACCACCATTTCTATGTTTGATGAGTAACCAGTCACGTAAAAAAATTGACACGCGAAATCAGTGCAACGTTGTTGAAACTGCTGAACTCATGTGCAATATCGCCAACAGACAAACGCATGGCGAGAGCGCAAGAAACGGCCTCGGTCCGATTCTATAGCCCTCTCAAAGTGCACGAAGATCTTCGCAGCAACGTCGATGAGGCTTATGCCGCGGTAGCTCTCGCATCTTGTCTTACCTCCCTTCTTGAGGATAGGTACAAGGATGACTAAGCCCCAGTTATCAGGAGCAACCCCGTTTCTCTACGCTTGTTTAATCACCCCATGGAGCCAGGGCGCCAGAGTGTCGACACAAGACTTGTATATTTCAGCGGGTATACCGTTCTCTCCGAGTGCCTTGTTGCTGTGTAGCTTTCGTATGGCATCGGCGACTTCTCCTTCAGAAGGGGGTCGCATGGCACTACATGGGTTGGAGAGGAAAGAAACTCTGCTGCAGAGGAGAATAAGGGGTGGTGGTTGGGTATCGAAGATGAGATGGTACTCGAAGTGCTCACGCCAGCGTCCGACTTCGGCAGAGTTGTCAGCAATAAAGCCGCCATTCACGTCGCCAACTGAATCGCTGTGTAGAGGGCTTACCACTAACTTGGCGGATCAGGCGGTAGAGTTGTCCAGTGGCACCAACGCTCGAGGCCTGTTCCATGGAGATCGTTATTTCAGTCCAATATTGCTTCTGGGCATTCCTGGCCGAATTTGTCGTCATCTTTCGAAGTTGGAGGAAGGAATCATCAGTACGCGACCTGGCTAGAGCCGTCTGAGTGGACAACTACAGGGTTCTTCCGCTGATCCAGTCACTGCGGCGTCGCTGGGTATATCCACGGATTTTCTCGGCTGCCCCATAGACTGACGTTTTCAGTGACGACCACTGGTTGCCGCCTTCTCCGTCGGCTCGGTTCGTAAAACAGGACCGTAGTTCTCTGCCTCGGTGGTTCTGGTTTGCCAGATTTTTGCGACATCGAGGCGTCTAGGACGCGACATTTTTCGCGTGGATGACAGGTGCACTTTCAAGCGTGTACGAGCGAGGACATTGTCCGACCAACGGGCGTTACCAGTCTCGGCATCACGCATCGATCATATCACTCAAAGACACTCCAACTTACGGACTGGCAAAGTGGGCTCTCGACGTCTCAATTTCTGACCGTTAATTTAAACACTACGGTCAGCTAATCAACACAATTCCTGGAGAAACTTAAAAGGGTAAGCCTTCTGGCAAAAGAGGTCATGGTAATTTTTGATGCTGTGCCCTCCTTGACTTCTATTCCTCAGAATCTGGAGATAGCTACTATCGAGCTACTACTGCAAAGCAAATACGACGAAGAGAAGAATCGTATTGGAAATGCCCAAGTCCTCCAATATCTAAAGTTCTGTCTGGAGACGTACTGCACGTCCGAGGGAAAGATCCACTAATAGGCTAAAGGCTCGCCAATGGGCCCGCCGATTTCGGGGCTCGTAACCAATGCAGTCCTGCAACGGTTGGAGTCGCCGGTCATCCGACACCACAAGCCGACATCCTGGGCTCGAAATGTGGATGACACCTTCGTCGTCATCAAAAAAATCAGATACTGACTTCCAAAGAGCTTCTCAACGCCGTCTTCCCACGCATCAATTCACGATAGAGGAGGAAGAAAATGACCTGCTAGCATTCCTTGACGTGTCTCGTTTGCCACAAAAATTGTGGTCGTCTAAAAACTGAAGCGTTCAGGGGAGCGGCAAATATGACGAAAGTACTGAGCTGTAACAACAACCACCCAGTCAGACACAAACGCAGTTGCACAGGGGTGCTATACCAGAATGTGGAGGTGCACTACAGTCAACCGGAAGACACGGTTGCTGAATTACAAAATCTTCGATGAGTGCTTAGAGCAAATAGCTACACGCACACTGTCGTCGGCCAGTGCATTCACAAGTGAGAAAGAAGACCAAATCCAACCAACGAACTATCCCGTACGTAGCAAACGTCTCGGAAGCATCAGCCGCCTTAAAGCTATGGTTGCACACAGACCGGAGGCAACCATAAGGCACCAGGCCAAAGGACCCACTGTCACGGAAATAAACGTCTGGCGTCGTTCACTGTGTCTTGTGCAGTCGTTGGCAAAGCAGCCGTCGGAGAAAAAGGATGACTTCTTCTATCGCGGACGGTCGAGTACGCAGCAACAGTGAGGCGGAACGACGCCAGTTCTCAAGTCGCAGCTCAGTCGACAGGAACTGGCCGTATACTCACGTTCGATGAGGTCGAAATCCTTGCGAGAGGTGATTACCGCATGAGCTGTGAACTGATCAAGTCATCGTTTTACGGTCCTCAGGTGCAGTGACCTCCGCCCCCTCCCCCCTCCATATTCTGCCCCGAGTTAGTCATGCGGAGAGCGCGCGAATGACCGCTGTTTATGCTGCCAGTGTCGGCGAGCCAGATTGCCCAAGCATCCCCATGGGTGATGAAATTTCGGCAATTAGAAATTTAGCATAGTAAGTGCAACCACCTGTTGTGGCTGAAAATTTTGACAGGCGTGTAGGCGCATAGCAAATGGATACTGCAACACCCGATCAGTCGGGCTATTTTCGCAAAACGTGTATCAGAATGCATTGGGAAGTTGTTAATCCTGACAGGCACGCATGGGCATAGCAAATAGATTCTGCAGATACCGCAACAACGGTGCGTCCTCTTACCCCTTGTCTGATTTTCGTCTCTGATGATGGATTCGAGTGATAATCCGAAACGTCTGGCCAATAAACCTCTTGTTCCAGTAACCCTTTCTCCTTATTCGAGACAGCTTCCTGGAACTCGCCTTTTCGCTACTGCCGACACAACCAAAAGGCTCCAGTTAAAGAAACACTCTCAAAATACTTTGTTACGCTCTTTGAAGGTGTAAAGTTTGCAGCGGCGTGTATGTCGCTGTCTTTTACTTAAAGGAAGAATCCTATGAATAATCAAAACATCAGACCGAGACGCTGTATACCAGCAGCTAACTTACTCGGTTAACAGTGACCTAGACTTGTCGTTTTTAGTGATAAGGCTATAATGGGGGGGGGGGTTTAGTAAACAACGTCCTCGACCTGTCCTATGACCTTTAAAGAAACATTAAAGGAACAGGCTTGTGAATTCTTACGGGCGCAACCTGGAGTAGTAAGCTGAAGGATCAGTTGCGTCAATTCTGCTGCGGTGGCCGCGATCAGCTGAATTTCAGACGACAGCAGTGTAGCTACTACTTACTTGTACTTTATACGGCTGCGATCATGCCTGATCTAGCCAGCCTCGATGATGTCCCGAACTGTACCTCTCCACGCGTGACGATCTGGGCAGCAGATCTAGACAGCTCAACCCATTCCCTTCGCCAACGACGGAGACCGAATACCGAAGGTCCAAGAACCACCTCCATGTCTTGACGGACAGTGTCGAGCCAGGTTTTGAACTGACCCCTCTTCGACGCCTCCAATGGGGCAACGGTGCCGGATCGAGGGCAATAACACTGAGCTCCTGAGGTGGACGACGAAGAACATGCCCGAACCACCTCAGTCGTCTTTCCTGGATGGCCTGAGTTACCCTTGCGATGTTATCGCAGCGAGCGCGGACTGTCTCATTTGAGACGAAGTCGGTGAACTTCACTCGAACGATGGTCCTCAAGCAGTGGTGGTCAAATACCTCCAGTTTTCGCTCATCCTCCACGTGCAAAGCCCAGCATTCACAACCGTAGAGAAGGACAGACCGGACAGATGCACGGTACACGCGAATCTTAGTGACGATGGAGAGGTCACGTCGGTTCCACAGGCATTTCCGAAGGCTTGAAAAAACCCAGCGGGCAGCATCGATTCGGGAGACAATGTCGTCCTTACTCTGTCCATTAGGCAGCAGCCTCGCCCCGAGGTATTTAAAACTTTCCACTTCTTCAAGTTGACAGCCATCAATCCCTAGGGGTGCCTTCTCCTGGTCAGGGATGCAGCTTGAGAATACTTTGGTCTTCCCAGCGTTTATGGACAAACCGACTGATTTAGCGACCTCGTTCACCCGTGACACCGTAGACTGCAGATCACCAAAACTTGAAGCAAGTAAGGCGATATCATCGGCATAGTCGACATCAGTCAGTCGATGTCCGGGTGCAAATTCAACGCCGTCACTGTCGCGTAGGGCCCTCCCGAGGATCCAGTCAATAGCGTAGTTGAACAGTATGGGTGACAGGATACAACCCTGTTGGACGCCAGACCGAATACCGAACGGTTGGGAAAGATTGTTACGGACCAGGACTCTCGCAGTAGTGGAGCGATAGTAGGCCTTGATTATGACAGCAGTGTGGCGAGCCCCTTTCATCAGGGCCTTACTAATGCAGGGCTAGAGGGGCAAGTGACAATCAGGACCTGTCTGATAGGGTCGATTGTGTGCTGATGAGAGGGTCGACTGCAAATTACTTGAAGAACTGGCTGTGAGATATCTTAAAACAGGTTTTAGCTGCAGACAGTGGTCAGCCTTCAAGCTCGCTACCATTTAACTTAACTATAGACCAGAGAATGTCAGTCATAAACACAGGCACAATACGGCACAAAAGCGAAAAGATGCATCACACTGGCAAACAGGCACCAAAAGGGACGAAATGGCGTCTGGTGAGCGGGGAACCCTAATGCGTCAAGATAACCGAACATACTATTACCTTAAGGTCACTAATGGAGATAAAAGGAACCAGTACGCAGATAATGACAGCTGTAATGAAATGCATCATTACTGCGTCACCAGCCAAGAGGTTGCAATCGATCAGGCAGGCGGCATGCGCACTGACTTTGGTTTCCGACTCAGGGTAGCGCACTCCCTCCCCTCCACCATGGTGGCGTGTGCAAACAATATGGATGTAGCCAGTGTCTCATGCGTTATGTACTGCCGCGTAAAGACGTTCGAGAAGTTACTAAGTTGCTGAAACAGTTTTAGTAAGTGTGGACTTAAAAATTGTAACTTCAAACAACCCAGACAAATCAACGTCAAGTGCGGCAATTTTATCCGAACGACTGTCACTATGCCCGTTTGGAGTTAAAACGTATGGAAAAGTGTTGTGAGGCTGCAGAAGTCAAGCTTCGCGTGAAATTCGTTTTACAAATTCCGTAAAAATAACTGATTCCCAACAGCGGTTGGTTTATGTGGAGCAGTACATGGGCGCTCTCATTGTGAACAGGAAATGGCCGTACGAATTCATAAATTACTGTGCAGGCTGCCAACATTATGGCGGACATCAGGAGCCGCGGAGTCAGGGGTTACATTTCTATGCAGGCGTAGTAAGGGCACTGGTTAACCATTAACTAGGAAAACATATGCGCTAGATAAGAGTGCACATTCATTGGAAGCGTGGGTATGCACTCCGAAGCCTGACATTTACATACCGTGGAAGTCGTGAATTCCTGCCTCCCATACGCCGTATCAGATCCTCGTGACTGAGCTTTAACTGATCAGGATAAACGGTTGCCGTCCACGAGTATTTCCCTCGGTTGATCGCATTGGTTAGTGACTGGAGCGAGGAGTGAGTTTGAAGAGGTTTTCCCAGAGACTGAGGGGCGTAGGAGAATCCTCGAAAGTTGCTTGTAAAGAGAGTATGATATAGAAAAGTAAAGCAAGAGGCTGACGTGAGTTGGTCTTTTCTTTTAAAATGATAGGTGATCAGACGGTGTAGGTCGAGTGAGGAGAAAAGCATGCAAACAATAGCAGGGTTTTTTTTTTATCTGACTACAGAATGCTAACAGAAGCGAAAAGGCGAGTTATAGGAAGTAGACACGGAGAAGGAGACACGATCGCTGAAACAAGTGTCTCCTTCTCCGAGACTACAGGATAGACTGTCCTCGTAATTGGGTTGGAATAAATTCAGAATTTGTGTTTACAGTAAAAAAGGGGTCTTGGGCTTGAGACTAGGAGGGCACGAAGAAATTGCGTTCGCTGAAAGCTGTTGTCCGGCATCACAAAATGTTCTTACGTCAAGGATAGAGTGAAGAGAACGTATTATGTTTGACAGTTTGTCAAGAAAGGTACATCGGGTTGGGACGTACTCTGATTTCGTCTTCTTTACAGCCTCAAACTGCCACAGCTGCTTGCCCACGACGTTGTGGCTATATCCTGGCAGAGTTTTGTCGCAGATGGACTGGCCAGTTACTTTATCATAGGCAAACATAAAAAGCCATTTTCGATTTGCAATGTTGGCCTCAAAACCCTATAAAGGATGAGGGGTGGGCTTTAAATAGCTACCTGATTGTATATGAGGGTCCACGTGCCTCTGTTTCCGAAGTCATCGTTCACCAAGTTCGGATATAAAAAGGTCAATTCGACTTGTCCATCCTTTTTAACTTAACCCGAGTAAGCCAAAATATGCACCACTTACATGTGCCACTGCAGCGATCAAAACACTGCTTAAGAGTTATCGTCCAACGTCCACGTGCGTCCTCGTAGGTGCAATTGGCCGGGGTGTCCCCGAGGCAGGTTTCAAGAAGGAATAGCAGAGGCAACACGTACAAACGAAACATGGCAATTATCTTTATTGAGCTCCCACAGGCAGAACCTAAAGTAAATCACTGTTAACAAACTACAAGTCCAAATAGGAAAGTTTACAAGACTCGGATTGGTAACAAATCACTTTTATTAACCAAAGCTGAATGTCTGAAAGTATCATCCAACTAAGCGGCCGACGTACAAGTTTTGGAACATCCATAAATCATACTATCAGTGGACTAGTCGTACAGGGTAATAGGCAAGGAACAGACGAAAGGAAATACCGGTTACACAGATCAGGAAGGGACGGCGGCGAAGGCATAGCTTTGAAGGTGGGTAATGATACAGTTATGCGGAGCACGAGGGGTCCAGTGGCAGGTGCTCCAATTTCCCTAGCGACTCCAATATGAAGCCCTCGCATGCAACTCCAAAGACAGTAAACAGGGCACGAGTCCGTAACTAAAGTGGTTTAACGGAGTGCTCAGGTGGGAGGGACATTTCTCAGAAACTACAGGTCGCCTAATAGGTCGCGATGAACGCAGTGGCTGCGCAAAGTTTTTTTCAGCCTAGCAATCGCACCATGATCAGCGGGTTACTCTAGGTGACGGCAGCTGATGAGGTTTGCTGTTTACACTGGGACCGTGTGTATGTGCGTGTGTGTGAAGTCTGATTCAGTCAGTAGACAGGCTAGTCGTGTTGTAGAGCACCTATAGAGAAGCTTGTGCGTAGTCAGAACAGTTCCCCACCCTCAAATATTGAAGTCCTGCTGGGAGGACGACATGCAATTTTGTGGGAGTCCCAAGTTCATTAGAGTCCCTTCCACACCGTCCCTTAATTCAGACCCACGGGGGATTTGAGAGGTGTCAGTGATGATTAAAAAGGGTAGCAGAAGCTGAGCACAACACCGCACCTGGTTGGACACAAGCGAAAGTTACCCAATAAAGTGGACACTAGTCTGAATCACATGCCAAAACCGGATGGAAGTCTGCGAGATAGAATTCACACCACTGTCGCCAAAGTCATTAGACCAGCATGCAGAAGATACCAGGCTTAATCCGGCGAAAACAATGACGAGATACAGCGACCGGCATTTAAAAAAATCAACTCCACGTGATCTATAGGAAAAATAGAACAGCCCTAAATAGAGCCGTATTATCTAATGACGTTTTCAGCTGCACAAGAGGTCGAGTAATATGAAAAATAAATAACAGACGAACAAGACGGGCACAATCGAGTGACATGCAGAAAAGGGGCTGCGCATTGTATATAATGGATGCCGACGTGTATCGAAGTCGGAGCCTTTTAGCCAACAGGCAGAAAATGGTTGTTATGCGCCAGTCCGCACCAAACGTTGAGCAGAAAGAACCACAGTACCGTCAACGGCAACCGTCTGGCAGCGACAGATCAATTCCCTCGCATAGCTGTCATCTTGACAATGTTTTCCTACGGCATGAAGATCCCGACAATCCATCAAAGTCAAGACCAAAAACTAAACCGTCTCCACCAAAGGTATCTCAAAAGTGTCAAAGTTAGGGCGGTAAGCACAGTTTTCAGGCGCCCAGAGCCCGTAGTTAACATTGTGCACATAACTAGCGGGCACCCACAGAGGCGGCATACCTAGGAGGACGTCGCGCGGGTACTGGCAGACAAGATGGACAAAGACAACGTTATACAGAGACAGTGAAGGCCACAAAATGAACCAACGGACCCTGGGAACACTCTAAAAGAACTGATGCCTGTGGCGGACAGACGAAGACACCGGAGAAGCAATCTGCGGAGCAAATCGAGCAGAGAACATCAGACCGAGACAACCAATGTTAACATCCAACGCCCACCCGAAATCCTTTGGGTCCACTATAATGGCAGCCCAACCAGCGCATCCTCCGCACAACCGTGGCCAACAGTAAACAAATTCCTTCTACGCGACTTCACTGAGACATCTTCCTGTTCCAGTTCGCCATGGTACCTGCCACGCCTGCGATCACGTCTGATAGAGCCGGTCTCGACGATCGAACCTTCCCCATGCGTTATGACCCGCGAAAGCCAATCTGGGGAGGTCGACCCATTCTCTTCTCCAAAGATGGAGGCCAAATACCGAAGGTCAAGGAATCACCTCTATTTCTGACGGACGTAAGCCCAGCCAGGTTGTCGGTTGGCCTCCTGCTTGACGCCTCCAAGGGGGCAGTGGCACCGGATCAGGGACGCAACACTTAACGCAGGGGTACACGACGAAGAACGCCCCCAAATCACCCCAGCTTTCTTTCTTGAACGGATCAAGGTATCCTCACATTGTTATTGCAGCGAATGCGGGCTTTTGCATTCGAGAAGAAATCAGTGTAGTTCTCATGCAGAGGTGGTCAAACACTTCCAGTTTCCGTTTCTTTTTCCAGCACACAGCCCAGCACTCGCAACCGTATCGGAGGACTGACCGAACGGATACCCAGGCACACACAGATCTTTATGGCGACAAAAATATCGCGCCGGGTCGATCGATACCTTCCACGGGTCGTAAAGTACAAACGAGCAGCAGCGGTCCAAAAAACGAGCTCATCCCAAGTCTGTTCACTTGGCGTCAGCTTTGCCCCGATGTAAGGGCCCACTCCATCAAATTTAGTAACTACTCCGGACGGGTATCACTTCCTAGTTAGGAACACAGCTCGAAGACATTTGGCGACATTGTTTTCCAGCGATGCTACATTAGGTAAGCCATCACTGCTTATGTTTGAGGGACAACAGTGCAGTCGGGGTCAGTCAGTCAGGATTCGGATCCAAATCCGACACCCCCACACCAAGCAGGGAGTCTAGCCCGATAACTGACTGGGCCTAGCACTTACTTGTTTTCAACGGCGTTTATCACAACTGACCCAACGAGCTCCGCGTTGTGGACCCCCCACATCTCTATTGATCGCTTTCCATTGCAGGCAGCGAAATTGAATCAGCTGTCACGCCATCTGCGTAGTCCAAACACTACAAAGCCCAAGCGCCGCTCGAAGCTATGCCTCACGAGGTACGCTCATGTCTGCAGTCGGAAGCCTCAGCGCCATCGTCGGTTGTGACTGGACCCAGAAGAAATGGTTTTGCGGGCGACTTTTGCGTGCGGATCGTGCAGCACACGGTGAAAGAATTCCGATCGGCGAGTGCGCAGTTTGTCAATTCTATTCGTGACTGCACAATTGTTTGTCTGGAACATGATCGGAGACTAATGAGAATGGGGCATAGGCACTACCGATCGATGGTACCTAGACAACTGGTATCTTCGAGACGCACGGCCAATATTTCGAATCCATGCGAAGGGATTGTGCTAACGGAATTCTTGCATACTAGCTGCTTGGTCTTCAGGCCAATCTCTCCCGAAATCAAAGGTTTCGACAAGGCCGTTGGGATGTCCTGCGCACTCAAATGAGCCTATGCTCAATATAGCTGTCAACTTTTCCATTCGGCAGAAAATTCGATTCAAGGTAGCAGAAGTTGTTCACTAGCACAAGAGCCTCATTATTTGTAACGACCGGGTAAAATCTGGGGCGTGTGCCTTTGTTTTCGGAGGAATGGATTTCAAGAGCACTCCTGGTGCCTTCATACCCATCAGGGACAGAGTACGCTACACTTCCGCAAAGAAGCTAGCTAGCGAAAGATCATCGGCGTACATCGCACGCAAAATACACACACGGCAGCCTGCAACAACATCGGGATAGTCTACAAGTGCGTGTCCGGGGACCTATTCTACCACGTAGCTAAACATACTTGCTGAAAGGACGCAACTCTGACAGATAACAGAGACCAAATAGAGAAAAGTTAGTCTTCCCGCCATTCACACGGGTTTTGGTCCTTGTTCTATAGTAGCGGACCTGGGACAAACGAGGTAACTTCGGCGACAAGCTGTTATGCAAACATGTTGGACTGCGGGAAACTTTGATGAACAGAATCAAGCGCAACGGCAGAACCCAGGAATCGGGCGAGGGTGAGCTGTCGGTATCAGTTGGTGGTATTCATGGGTTGGACGAAAAGGACAAATTCGCATTAACACATCATACCAAGGTCCGAAACTGCACTAATTCTTTCTTGTTCGGGCACTGTCGTGCAAACGCAAGCGACTGATGGCGACTGCGGAAATGTCGGATTAATTCAGGAAGACTCGTGCATGGTGGTTATTACGCAGCAACCTATAGCCCACCTTGAAGATAGGTGTAACGAAAGTGTCGCTTGGCTTGTGAGAACGGTGTCTGCTTTCAAAATGTGGGTGAGATTGTGCAGCCGATCACTAGTACTGTCGAGCAGTGTTTGCAAATTTCTACCAGAAGGCCGTCCCTACCAGGTGCTTTGTTGTTTTTCAATTGCGCTATCACCTCAAAGAGCTATCTGATGGACAATGGACTGTGGTTGCAGTCTTCGACAGCAGATGAGGAGGTGAATCCGCCGGAACTCCAAAGCAGAAGCAACCTTTCCACCGGATTGTCATGTCCGGTACTAGCGCCACCAGTTGTTTCCTATAGTTTAGGAGATGAATTATAGGATTGACCCATCTTCAAAATCCTATACAACGACCTCGTGTTTCATATTCATACTGACCCAACTGTGAAAAACTCGGTGCCTCGGCTGGTTTGCACGTGTTCGAGAGTTTTGGTAATTTTGCCAGCTTCTTTACGGTAGTGCCGTGAGGAGCGCCTGGACGTACTACAGAGAAATCCGAAGTCCGAATCGCAGCTCTGGCACTACCGGCTAAGTGGATTGCTTCAAGAGATTCAGCGCCTGCAGTAACAGCTGCTGGCGTAGTACCTCCTGGAATGTATGCTAGAGTGTACTTCAGTTCAGGCCAGGTATCTTCTATAAAGTTAGTTTTACTTTGAAAGTGACTAGGATTGGAGTGCTCGGTGAGCAGATGCTACCTAGGGCGTCGAAGGCAAGTACTTTTGATTTAAAAAACGGTCAGGATGGATGAAATCGGCAAGCCTTTCGATCTTCGCGTAACGGCTTCGTAGTGTGTAATAGGCAAGGACTCGCCTCGCGGATACATCAAACTAGCCTGATCTGGCATTCT